AGTTCCACCAGAGACCATTGGGGCTCCAAGGTCTCATTTCTACAGAGGTGCTTTTTGACTTTCAGCGTACATCAAACCAGCAGTGCCCCACACATAGGAGGTCCAGGGAGAGCAGCATTTTCACTGACCTGGAAATGCATAGAAAAGAGCAACGTTAAGGGAGTAAGAAACATCTTAAAAAGGGAAGGAAGGGTCGAAAACGGAGGGGAGGTGCAGACGAGGCCAAGGCTGGTTCGGAGTGACAACGGGGTGTCAAATGTGGGGGGACCCTCACTGAAGGAGTGAGGAGCTGGAAGGGTTGGCAAGACAAGTTGAATGCTGTACTGCCAGCGGCTGAGACAGCAAGGGTAGAAGAAAGGTACCAGAGGCATTTCATTTCTAATTTGCACCCTTCTTGAAAGTCACTGCCTTTCAGTGGCATCAAATCTGTGCAGTCATAAAAAAATAATCACTGAGCAATGGGGCTGGAAGGGATCTCAGGTGGTCGTCTAGCCCAACCCCCTGCCTGAACCATCCTAGACAAGTATTTGTCTTGCCTGCTCTTAAAAACCCTGAAAACAGCTCCTCCACCCAGCGACCCGGGATCGTGTCCAGAACATCGACCTTACGCTGGCCACAGGTAAAGCAGGGTTATGAGGGCAGGGTCCGTGTCCTGCCACTGCAAGGACAAGTAGTTGTTTATTAAGATGCACGTGAGTTTTACCTGCTGGGTAAAATTCCCTTCCTGATCCCAAAGGCATCAGTGTGACGCAGAGCAGAGAAGCAAGACCCTCTAGGTTTGTTTTAAGCCCCCCAACTCCCAGAGCAAGAGGAGGGGGAAAAGTCCCTTCCCAGCCCCATGTGGGGACCAGCAGAGCCCAGAAGCATGGACTAACCAGACACCCTCCGCTCCGCACTGCAACCTGGGGACCGCAGACAGCTCCACGCATCTCACACGCATCGCTCCACACATCTGGAGAACAGAGCTCCTTTTTCCATCACCGGTGGAGGAGAAGCAGATGCTTTGCCAGATCCTCCATCCAGCCTGGCCCACACACTGCAGTCACGACCCGCAGCACCCCCGCGACCACAGCCCCAGCTCCCCACCCTGCCCCTCTCACTGGGTCCTCGCCCCTCTCCTCCACCATCCTAGCGGTGATCCTCACGATGGAAGTCATGCAGGCCATGCTTGACTGTGAGATGACTTGGCAGCGCGGACAGATGATCCGAGGATAAGACTAACAGCTAGGACATACCATGCACTTATCCCCAGAGCTACCACCCAGCTCTGGTTTTCTTCACAGCTTTCTGGTTTCTTTCCTATCCCCTCACAGCAGCGCCTGACAGAAGAGCTGCAGACCATGGAGAATGGCTATCATGACAACCCAACACTGGAGGTGATGGAGACCTCCTCTGAGATGCAGGAGAAGAAGATCAACCTGAACGGCGAGCTGGGTGACAGCTGGATTGTCCCCATGGACAACCTCACGAAAGAGGAGCTGGAGGAGGAAGAGGACACACATTTATAAATGAAGCCGGAGACCGCTAAACAAAAACAAGCAAAACCTGAAACAAAACCAAACTGACTATAGCCACAAGTGCCATCACCCTATCGGACAAGGAGGGACACACGTGCCTGCCAGCTTTGCTGAGGAAAGCAGTCATGCTTGGAGTTTGCTGTGGCCTAAACATCGCAATCAAAACATATTCACTGTCCAGACTATAGAGTGTATTTTGTTTATATATAAATAAATATATATATATATATATAGTGCCTCTATTTAAGCCTTGATCAGAGGAGACGAGATGGTTTAAGAGATGAAAGGCTTTTCCAACTACTGATGATGGTATCAAACTCAACGTGGTTTGCAGAACTTGGAATCAGCTTTCTCCAGATCGGGGCTCCTTCTGTCCAGCCGGGACCTGGCACGTGGGGTGCAACCACTGCCCGAGTTGAAGAACCCTTCACGGGCAACCAAAAGCCTGCAGCAACAACCGGGAACTAAAACAGCATTGAACGAAGAGGATCTGAACGGGAGCAGTAGCAGCTGCACCATCGATTGCAGTGCTGGGCAGCATGGTGGCATACTCCAAGAGCTCCCCCCTCCCCTGTGCATCTCTGTTGCCAATGCAGCTTATGGTTTATTTTTTCTTTTCCTCTATCATGTTGTAATATTAAAGACAGTTATTAAGCTTCACAGGAGATAAAGAGAAAAAGAGTAACACCCTGGCATCACGTCCAGCCACATGATTAACTGGCCATTTCCAGATTCTTGCTGGAAGTGCTGGGTATTAAACACAACAGCTTCCCCCATCAACAATCACTTCTGGGTCGTCGGTGCTCCTATCCTACAGGAGTTTTCCTGGCCTGTATTGTGAACAGCGTTGACCAGGTCCCAGGCCAACACTGCCCCTAGTTTGCTTTCACCAGCCTAGGAAGCCATTTCGGTTCCTCAAGTCCAGTGGTTTTCAAATGGCTATCTTAACTGCGCTCGCCGCACTGAAGGGTCTGGGGGTCTCTTCCGACCTGGTGCCTGAGGCTGTGATGCTTCAATGCACCTGACTTCCAAAAGATACTATCCAAAGCCAGCAAAGGAGATGCAAGCACTGCCTCGGCAACTCAAGGGAACCAGCCCATCTTTCCGGCTTTCCCAGCCAGCGTGCCAGGAGCCAAAGGACAAGTTCAGAGGAAGCCCACCATGAGCCAAGGGAAGCTCCTTACTGTTGTCTGCATTTGAAGCAGCACTAAAATCCCCTTGTTCCAGGATTCTTGCACCCAAAGGCTCACAACATGCTCTCAAAATTTCTCATCTATTCAAAAAAGGAATCAACCAGCAATCCAAGAGGGAATTGGTCTCTTAATCATCCAGTAGGCAGCAGGACTCAGGGAACGCAGATCCAGTAGACCGCAAGAATGCAAAGCAATTTCAAGGCCACTGCAACCAATTCTAGTACAGGGGGAAAAAACCCAGAAAGTTATTGCCATTCCCCCCAAACCACAGCATGCTCCTCACAGCTCTGAAGACCCCTACGTGACGTCCTAGCCCCTAGCATCACACCTGGCTTTGTTAGAGGAGCATTAGCAATGCCAGCAACTCCAGGCACTATTTTAGGCACAGCAAAACAGCAACAGGCATTTCAGTGCAAGCTAAAATGTGCATCTGTCCCTTGTTATGTTATCTAGTCATCACCTCTGCTCCGCACTGCACTATGCTTTTCCTTCAAGGACATTTCTGTTCAACTCCTGGGTATCAAGCAATAGGGAAAAGGCCTTTGAGGTTGTTCAACACCAAAACAGACTGCCGAGGTGCACATGGGCAGCGTTTCCAGGCCCACCGCAGCAGGGGACCAAATCAGGGCTGGACTGAGTGCCGTGAGCTTCCTGCTCCTACCTCCAGCAGCCGCCGCCGAATGATAAAGTGGAAACCACAAACGGTGAAGAAAACCCAGCAACTGGGATAAGCCACGGCCAGCTTCCTCCTGGGGGAGCACACCCGTGTCACACCTGGGTCTGGGCAGCACTGGCCTGTTTCAGGCTGCTTGTACATCCTGTTGAAACCAGCAGGCCTGTCTTTCCAGGACAGTTGCAGGTGTAGGATTGCTCTCTTCCAAACAAAGTCTGTTTTATTTCTAGAGATTGATATGCCTTGCTCCTCACCCTGGTCCCAGACCAGCTTCCAGCACAGCGAGCCCAGCATCCGTCGCATTCATCTCATCCTCTGCCCAGGCGTTGGAAGAGAGGATTTATTGGGGATATTTTGGTTCGGTTTCTTTATGATCAGCAGAAGCTGCACAAGGTTGAATGCAAAACACAAAGGAGACCGTCCTGTTGCTTCAGCAATCTCGCGTGTGAACACCAGCCCCTCTCGGGTATTTCCTCTCCCAAAGCCTACTGCTCTCCAAGGAGGCCATTGAGATGCACCTCAAGAGACTTCTGCATCCCCAGCAAATTTTCACCATCCCTTCTCCTCTCCAAAAGGTTCCCTGGTCCGAGCATGGTCCAGAGGTCTAGCCCAAAAGGAGCCTGAGATAAAGGCACGTCACAGGTTCCACCTGCCCTACGTTGGAAAGATTGTCACAATATCACACTTCTTTCACCTTCTGAATTTGTTGGAGACCTGGGCTGGATGGGCAGCTGGGAGCCGGGTTGGGCAGGTAGTCCGGAGCAGGAAAGCAGCACAGCGAAGACAACCAGCCATGCATGCGGCCTGGGGAACCAACAGCTCCCAGCAGATGATGGTCATTTGAGCTCAGTAGCCCAGACCTCTGGATCCAGCCAAGCTGTTACAGATGAGGGCAGCCACAGCTGGCTCCTGACTGCTGGCACAAGCCTTATTCAGCTTTGCAGCTCAGGCAAACGGTGCATGCACGGCAGCCGCTTGCTCAGGTCTCGGCGCACAGAGTACCAGGAGCAGCTGCCTTTTCATCTGGTCTGCATTTTTTGGGACTGGCGCAGATTATTGTGGACCGATAACTGCCCTGGGGGGAGTTTGCCCAAGGGAAGAGGCAGTTAAAATGCATCGTCTCCGGTAGCCACTTCCCTGGCAGAGGGGCTCCAGGGGCATGCTCCAGAGGCCGTACCGCAGAAGAGCCAGGCAGCATGGCCAGGCCCTTCCCGCCTGTGCTGGCAGGTTTCTTCCTGCCACGACAGGGCAAGGGGAGGAGGGGGCAATAATCTAAATGTGACTATTGCGTTTGCAGGGGTTTGCTTTGGCTTCAGGCTCTGTGCATGGGGCGTGGGGTAGCAAGTGCTGTTCCAGCACAAGCCCCACAGCCCCTGGCTTCACTTACTCCCAGGCTCTGCTTTTGGTTTTTTAAGGGCACTGCCAGTTTTTTGTAAAAAGTCACTTCTGGCCAAGACTGCTCTGCTCACAACGGTGTCTGGCTGCATTTGCCTTCGCTTTGCCTGGGAGCCGCTAGAGACCTGCTGTCCTGCCACCTTCTCCCGCTTGGGCACATCTCCCTTTGCAGAGCCAGACCCTTGTCTTCACACAGGTTTTTAGCCCAGCAGCAGGGAGAAAGATCTCCTTTCCAGAAGGCAGAAAGGGGATGGTAATAGCAATGACAAGCAGTTGCAGGAGGAGCTCAAAGTAGCTTCTATCCATTTTATTTTATTTTTTTTAAAGACTGAAGTTCTTGGATCCCCTTTACATTAGCCTTCACCATGATGAATGCAGCATTGAGCTGGTGTGGGAGGACGGGGACAGGAGGGGGCATGAGAAGGGGGTTCAGGCTGGGACCAAGGCAGTGCTTGGAGCACGGGCCTTGCTCCACAGCCAGGGGAGACTCCATCTCCAAAGGGAGAGCTTCATGAAGCCCCTCAAGCCTATGAAACCCTAAGCAGCCCGGCACTTGGGAGCCTGGGACCTGACAGCTCTTCCCTTCAGGGAACGGGACTTGGGGAAGAAATGTCTCGCTTTCTTGGCCGTGGAGACTTTTGCCCAAACAGGACTAAGCACTGAATTGTTCATTCCACAGAGAGAGTCAGAACGGCAGCAAGCATGAAATAACCAAGAGGTTTTGGATTCCCAGTCTTACTCTCCGAGGCAAAGGCACAGGCTAGAAGTGCGAGGAGAAGCGTGTCTCCTGGCACGGCAGGACCAAAAAAGCTGTCCGCAGAGTCCATCCTCTCTCTTCTCCTAAATAGCTTTTCCCTTTCTCTCTCCTCCCTGCAGAGTGGAGTTTGGAGTGATCAGATCCATGTATTGTGTGGCGTCTCAATGTTACTGCTGTTGACAAGTCAATGTATTTAGTCCCCTGGGCCTGTTTGTGCACTGCTTTAATGGAAACACTTTTTTTTGTCTTTTTGCATGGGGCAGGGGGAGGGAAGGGAGCAAAGGAACCAGTCTGATGCTTTGCAAGCAGCCCACAAATGCAGGCAGACCTCTCCGAGTTCACCTTCATCTGAAATCTGGTCCTTCTCAGCATGAGGTCTGGTCCCACCCATTTGAGAGAGACCAGTGCCCGTTTGAGGCCAGAACTTCATGGCTCTCCCTTGCCAAAGGATACTGCGAGTCACTGCACTGACCGTAGTGCCAGGAGGCTCCTGCCATGGTTGAGGGCAAAGAGTCATTTCTGAATCCAGCCAATGCTGTCCAAGCGACGGTCTTAAACCCGTGCAGTATTCAAGGCAGCAGCTTCCTTTCTGTGCTCCGGTAAGCTGGACCTGCTCCTGTAATGTTATGAACAGCCTTAAAGAGCTGGTCTCAGCCTTTCCACTGATGCTTGCGGTCCCATCCACTCCCAGTTCTTCTATGGGACAGTCAGCCCATTTGCAAGTGTGTGGTTGTCCTCTGACATAAGGCTCCGACCCGTTGCCCAGGGGACCCGAAATGAGTTGTGCCCATTACAGCAACCCACCCATATCCAGCTTAATGTTTACCTGTGCTAGCATCTCATTAAAATCCATTAAATGCTCACTTAAGGGCTTTGATGAAATGGGTCCAGACACCCTCCCCTAGCAGGGTGGAAAGAAGACAGCAAAAAACTTTCCATCTCATTCAGAGCAGAGATATAAGTGCTTGTAACACTGCACTGTTGACAAGGGATCATACATGTATTTATTTTTCCAATCCTATTTTTAAACCACTAAAATAATTTTATAGTAGATTGTTTCCACCCTCTATTTAAAGAAGGCTTTTCTCTGAAAGCTGGGGAGAGCCACCGAATAGACAATGCTTATTGCAAAGTCAGCTGGAAATGGAAACTAGAAATCTTTAGCCTTAAACCTTCCCATATTGTAAAGGAGCCATAAATGTACACGTGCGACCAAAAAGGAAAATCCTCCCTAAAGCAAGAGCTTTACCATTCAGACCTGCTGTACAGAGATTGCTGCCTTTGCATTTTGGTAGGACTTTTACAAACAGCGAAAACCTTGCAGGAAATGTTTCTGCATTCAGACTCATAAGGAACATGTACATAATATTAAGCCATTTCTCTTGCATTCATGAAGTCCAACTGCTGCACAGTTTATATAGTTACTACTAAAGCTAAGTCA